TTCAGGGCAAGAGATTTGAGTTTCTTAGAAGACTCGTCTCCATTCAGTTCTATGTCATGGCTCTGAAGATTGCAGATTAAACTTTCAAGAGACAACGTATTCAGGTATTTAGCTTCCTGGATAGCTGTTACTTTAGGTATAAACTTTAAAGAAAGACTTCTCAGAATCTTTTTGACATGATTTGATGTAGAGTAGCTCTTATTCAACACTTGAAGGCTTGATACAAGAATCTCAAACCTGGAGAACATGCTTTCAATATCCTCATCATCCTTCATTTTGAACAACTCATATTTCTTTACCAACAAGTTAGCTTTTGCTTCTCTAACTTGGTGATTCCCTTCATACGTAGAGCACAAAGATTCAAAGATGGTCTTGACAGAAGACTTATCAATGATTTTCAAATACTCAACATGTGGTAGGGTATCGACCAGAATACCTCTGACTCTATGATGTTTTCTATAGAATTTATTTTGAGTTGGAGTCGAAGTTTTTTTGTCAGATGCCATACCTATATTATGAACAATGATCTCAATGTCGTCTTCAATTATATCCCATAACTCATCATCGTATCCAATGATATATGTGTACATCTTGCTTTTCCACCATTCAAACTCAGTGGAATCACCACTGAATACAAGAGGTTTAATAGAGTAATCATTTCTTTCATAACCATTGTAATCATATGAAAATCCTCTTTATGAGGCACTGGGACCTTCTATAGTCATGTTTTTCTCGTTGGATCTTCAATTGTACCACTGTTAAGTGTTACATACAGACTTTACTCTGATGCTAACTGAAGGTGAGAAAAACACAAGAAGGGGGACTGAATTGTGTATTTCAAATTATTTCTACTTCTGAATCAGAGTTCAGATTCTAAACAAAACTTCAGAACCTAATAACAAGTGCGGCGGAAAAGTATACAAAAGTAAATAAAAATAGCAAAGAACACACATCAGTTATACTGGTTCCTCTCCAACTAAGAGTAGTCCAATCCCCTTACAACACAAGAGATTTTCAATATAATCAAACAGATTATAACTGCTTACACACTCAAGTATAAGACTTTTCTGCTCAGACCCTCAAGACTTCCTTGCTTAATCAACACCTGATCAAGACTTCTTGCTTAGATCCTCAAATCCTAAGACTTTCTTGCTTAAACCCCTCAAGTTCAAGATTTCCTGCTTAAGCCCCTCAGACCTAAGACTTTCTTTCTTAGACCTTCAGTTCAAGACTTTTGGCTCAGATTCTTCGAATCTAAGATTTTAATGCTCAATCCCACGATAAGAGACTTTTTATATAAGCTGACTATTTAGAGAAGGAATAACTTACAACAACACTTGATTAACTATTCGAGATGTTCAAATATAATACAAAATACTTTGACACTAAGGATTCTTAAGTTATACAAGAATAAAAACTATTAACAGATTATCTTCTCTTGAGCTGATTTGGATGCAGTGCGTGTATATTTTAGTTGTAGTTGCAGCTTTATTCTCTTAAATAATCTTTAATTCTTCAGCTCTTTTTATAGCTGAAGGAATAGAGTCGTTAAAGCATCCCCAACGGCTATAATCTGATCAAATCTAGTACTACATCTTCTTTTCCAATAAATCAGGTGTTGGAACTCATAGAAAAAGAGTTATCCATTAAATAAGGCCTTTGTCCGGAGAGCTCATCTATCAAACAAGTACAACACAATCTTTTGAAGATACTGTCAACCATTCTCGAGTCCCGTGATTACAAAGCTTGAGGTGACATTACTCAGTTTTAGAGGTGGGTAAAGCACACTTCTGATTCTGAACTGTACTAGATATATCTTTTTGATCAGAACCTGATCACAGCTTCTTCTGTGTCAAAACCATTTTTACAAAGTAAATATAATTCTGCACATAAAAACCATCTAGTTAGAAATCCTAACTATTTTTCAAATATTTTGTTATCATCAAAACTTTAGAGGATATATGGTATGAACCAAATTTCTCTCAACAGGTTATCCCTTATTTGATCATGTTTCAAGTCATTTGACTTATTGGTAGATGATCCCTAGGTGATTTCTTGAGTCTTCACTTCATCTCCCCATCTCTCCTGTTCCATCTTCTTGTTTTTTCTTTTGCTTTGGCTATTGTGTGACATGTCTTAGGAGACTAACTTTGTATTAGTTCTCTAACATGTTTAACACAAAGTTTTATTGACCAACCTTATATAGGCGTGACTTCTATATAAGTCCACTTGCGATTGCTTAACATAACGCAAAATTGTCCGGACTCGGTTGAATTTTCATTAACACTAACGTTGACATATTAATTGTGCTAAGATCTAACTTTTATTTTTATTCTCTTTACATATATGGTCTTTACCTTTTATATCATTTACATTCATGTCATTTTACATTCTTACCTTTTATTTTTTTTCTTCACTTTATACTTTATTGCTTTCTTATTTCAAAAGAACAAACATATTATAACATGGATAAAACCCTAAAAAAACTCTAATTTGATCTTCTGGACTTTGTGTCACTATCCCTTACTTGAGGAGTATTTTAGACCTTGGACATTAGGACTTATTATTTCCCTTTACTTGGAGTCGTATCTGAGACTTTGTGATTCCTCTGAGATATAGTGATTCCTCTGGATCCTCTGATCTTCAATCCAAGACTTTGGATGCTCTTTGTGACTTTGATATTCATTTGTGCCTGTGCTTGTTCATCTTGTGACTCAATCCAAAGGGAAAGGAATGTTTGTTTTTGACCAATGTCAAATGCTTGTTTCCTCTTGCGGTTAGTATATTTGCACACACAAAAACTTTCTCTTGGGCAAACTTACGATGAGACCCTTTTATTTTATGCTCTAGGATTGTTTCTTCATCTCCTTCCCACTTCTTAAACTTTTAAAACTTCTCCCTATTTCAAAAACTTCTTGTTTTCAAACGTCACACCTTTTTCTTAATAAACCTTGACTTTGTCAAGTCACCTAGAAATTTTTTTTCTTAATAAATGCTAAAATACTTAAGCACATTCAAACTCTTTTTAAAACCTCTAAAAAAGACAAACCTCATCAAACTTCTTTTTGTGCTTTTGTGCACTTTTCTTTAAGAGCCTTTTTTTCTTTTCAAAAGATTGGATATTAGTCTATTCTTGTAGTGATGCAAACTACTACGCTTCTACAATATGCAGAGAAATGATTTATACTTTCCACTTGAATGTTGAGATGTGCTTATGAGAAAGTCCAAGTAAAAATTCTCCATATCAAGATGATGTAAATGCTCATTTCCTCATACTTATGGGTAGTAAGTTAAGTTTTTCACTCGAACATGACATAATGTCTTTTCACCTAAAATCAATCAACCAACAACCTAGTTTTTTTTATAAACACAAATTTGCAAGTGGTTCCTATGGAGTACCATAGATGTGAGAGGTGCTAATATCTTTCCCTTGCATAACCAACCCCCGTATTCAGATCTCTCTTTTGTTTTACTTTTTGTGCGTTTTGTTCGACCTTTTTTCTTTCCTCTTTGAAAATAATAAAGTTCGGTGGCGATTCTTTCTTTTTGAGTTAAGTTAATCAATAGGTTAATCTCAAATTTTTTTCGTCGCGACAGATCACCTTCGCCTAATTTATGCCAACTACGATAATCTTAGCAGTCCTTCTACTCCACGGCCAATTGGAAAAGTCTTATATCAACTTCTAGGGTCAAATCTCCGTCCAAGAGAGAAACAATTGGAAACACTTACTTGGAATGACAAGCATCTCTTGTTATTCATTACCAAGAACATTAGAGTTAATCTTCCTCTTACACACACACACACACACACCCCAGACACCCACCCCACACACACACGCACACACATATACAAACATGGGGTTTGCTAACGTAAACCCACTTATTTTTATGAAGGTCTATTTTAGCAAACTTTAACTAAAAAAATCTTTAAATGCACCTTAAGGTAAATGTTACTAAAACACATCTTCATAAAAACAAAAAAATAGTTAAATGCATCTTAAGATGTATGTTGCTAAAATAGATCTTTATAAAAACAAGTGGGTCTACGTTAGCAAGTATATATATATATATTTATATATATATATATATATATATATATATATATATATATATATATATATATATATATATATATATATATATATATATATATATATATATATATATATATATATATATATATATATATATATATATATATATATATATATATATATATATATATATATATATATATATATATATATATATATATATATATATATATATATATATATATATATATATATATATATATATATATATATATATATATATATATATATATATATATATATATATATATATATATATATATATATAAACAAAATTCTAAAAAGTGTAAAATAGAAAGACTCAAAAACATGAATTTTGAAATAAGGAGACTACAAATTTAAAACCACCAAAGTAAGATATATAGCCATTTTAAACCAAATTTATAAGATCTTAAAACTAGAACAAAATTAATCTAGAACAAAATTAATCCAAAAAAATAAATAATTGTACATGGATGAAGATAGTATATGGCATGGGGGGTGGGGTTAGACATATGGGAAGAACTCCATATAAAATGAGTAAAGACAAAATAAAAGATTGGGGTTGATTAGGTGAACCCAATAAGACCATCACATTAAATGATTGCTTTAATCCTTAGATCTTCACAATCTCCCTCAATATGTGTATCCCCACTCTCATTTATATTCTCTCCCTAGGGAACGACAAAAAGAAGTTTCTTCCTTATCAAACATACATTCATTCATCACCTCTCTCTCAAAAAGAAAAAAACACAAGGTGCATGAACTCATCAAGTCACCACCATAAACAATCTATTACTAGGGTTTGATCAAAGTCATCATAAGAAAGGGAAAGAAGAGGAATGGATCATAGGACTATGTTCTTTTATGAGTATTTTCTTAGTATCTTGGTGGTTTTTATGTATGAAGAAGAAAGAGAATAGAGTGATGATGAAGAATCACAAGAAAGGAAAAGTTCCAAAAGGAAACAAAGGTTGGCCTTTACTTGGAGAAACTCTTGATTTCATTGCTTGTGGATACACCTCTAATCCTCTTAGCTTCATGGAAAAACGCAAGTCTTTGTAAGATATCACTTCTTTCTATGATCATTTCATTTTATGACATGCATGTTCAACCAACATTTGTTTTCTTCATTTTTTATTCTTATCTAAAAAGACGGTTGGAAGTTGAAACATTACATCATTTGATGAGCACAAATGATTTCCCAAGTGACAAGAACTATCAATGGTCAATTTATTTAGAAAGATATGTTTATGATTCTTTTTTAGGAATATCCATCCCCATACTCATTTACTATTTAGATGAAAAATAAAAATAAAAGTTATTGTCTATCTTCCCCTATTCTTCTTCTAGTCTATTCTTTGTAAAAGCACAACTTTAAAAAGTTGTATAGTGTGGTCCTTTACAATATTCGCATATTAATTTTATTGGTCACCATGTGTGGCTCATAATTTTGTCTTTCAACGTGGTCCACACACACATATACTATATTAAAAGGAAAAAAAAGCTTAGTTAAATTAACGCAGTACTTAATTAACAAGTTTCTTAAAGAAATGAGAGGAATACTCATATGGCATGAGTATGGCTTTGTATAATGCGGATTTAAGTATATAAAGTCCTACTCGCAGAAAATGCGTCTGAGTGTTGAAATCATGTGTCCTCGTTTGTGATTGTTTTATGCGTCTTTTCGTGCAATGTTTGTTGTTGGGCCTGGGCCTTTCACTATATGTCTGGTGAACGGCCCAAAACAATTACCAAATATATGATAATGCGTGTATGAGTGCAGGTACGGTAAAGTGTTCAAGACGAGCATATTAGGAAGTTGTGTGATTGTGTCAACAGATCCAGAGATAAACAAAGTGATTCTACAAAATCAAGGAAACATTTTCATCCCAGCTTATCCAAAATCAATTAGAGAACTAATGGGAGAAAACTCTATACTTCAAATGAATGGGAACATGCATAAGAAACTTCATTCACTCCTTGGAGGTTTTCTTCGTTCTCCACAATTCAAAGCTCGAATCACAAAAGATATTCAGCAAACAGTTAAACAATGTTTAGCTACTTGGACTCACCACCAACAAATATATGTTCAAGATCAAGTTAAAAAGGTCTTTTTATTTGTTACTATATTAATTAAATCATTATTTTTATAGCTATTTTTTTCTTTCTATTGTTCTTAACTTTCTTTGTCCTTTTTCCCTTTCTACTTCCTTTTTAGGTATCTCTTTTTCCCAATACCTTTTTTTAGGGTGTTGGAAAATCATTTTTCTTGCTGATTTTCTTCCATTATAGACTATACATCTCTTTATTTCATCAACTTTTCATTAAAGTTTACCCTAGAGTCAACAACTTTGAAATCGCACCGTTGCTAAGACGTGCAAGACGGGATATTGCACATTTCTAAAATTTGTCATTGTTAAATTGTAGTTAAATAGAGCATCGTAAAATATTTGTTACAGTTAAACCTGATTACATAGAGTCTCTATTTATATTGTCATGATTAAGTTGCGACTAAACTATACAATACCTTCAAAAATTTGAGACGACTTTACCTGCGAGTCCAGAATTTAGCATAGTTAGTCTATCAACAAAGTATCATAAAGTTTAGAGAAAAGATAGATCATAGTTTAGACCAAAGTATTATATCTTTTAAAATTTTGACATGATATATCCAATATACTAAGACACTAACAATTTTTTTTTTTTTTTATGTTTCCTACTTTGACATATATATTTATCAGATTACATTTACTATTTTGGTGAAAGTTCTGATGAGCATTGACCCCGGTGAAGATTTATCTATATTGAAAAGCGAATTTGAAGAGTTCATCAAAGGATTAATTTGCTTGCCCATTAAGTTTCCCGGAACAAGACTCTATAAATCCTTGAAGGTTATATAATTCTCCCAACACAAGATTAATACGACTGGTTCTTATCATAAAAAAAGTTTACTTTTTATAAATACATTCAATAATTAATGTATCTGATCTATATTATTATTAAATTATTCGAAGCCATTTGATTGTGGGTGTAGGCTAAGGAGAGAATGATGAAGATAGTGCAGAGGATAATAGAGGAAAGGAATGGTGATAATAAACATAAGGATTGTGTAGCAAATGATGTAGTGGATGTACTTTTAGAGGAGAATAAAGGTGAGATGAAGAAAATGAGTGAGAATATAATTGAGATGATGATTCCTGGTGAAGAGACTCTTCCTACTGCTATGACCATGGCTGTCAAGTTTCTTAGTGACTCTCCTCTTGCTCTATCCAAATTACTGGTAAGTTTCTTGGTCACGGATTCAAACTCGTGTCTTGTATCTGATGTCTCTGCATTGAATTAGCGAGTTTAATCATTTATATTTTAAATATTAGTTAAAAATTAGTGTGTTATATTAAAAATATCATATAAAGTGTGTAGAGAAGAGAATGAATGGAATCGATAAAGTACCATAAGATTTGTGGTAGGGGGCACGATGATATGCACGAGTGATGTGATGTGCTGTGCGCATATGAGGGGGTGCATGTTTCCTTACCGTACTATTTCAATTCAATTCACTGCCTATCTATTACTATTAGGACCACTTATTTCATTCCTACCACTCAACCACTTTTTTCCATTTTTTTTACTTTTCTTCTCTTTCTTTTTCTCTTTTTTCTTTTAATTAGTGCTCAGTGGTGGTCAATGATGGTTGACAGTGATTCTATGTAATTGGTGGTGGTCGTAGTGGTGGTCGGTGATGACGTAGTCTCAAATTTTCTACGAAGATCATGTAGCAATGCATAAACTAGACAGTTTATGATTAACTTACTTGTTGCTTCATGAACAAGTAACTAGTTAGAGAAAATATCAATCACAGTAGCAAAATATGTAAGCATTATATTGTTAATGAAATGCAGTTTAAGCAATTGAATTTATATTTGGCTGTTAATATCAGGAAGAGAACATGGAATTAAAGAGGAACAAGAGTTGTTCTAACGACTATACATGGACCGATTACTTGTCAGTGCAGTTTACTCAAAATGTAATCAGCGAAACTCTTAGAATGGCAAATATTGTCAATGCCATATGGAGAAAATCTATCAAAGATGTAGATATTAAAGGTTAGTTTTTATTTATTTCTTAACTGAATCAAATTCTAAAGTATTTGCAAAAAAATAAAAAAGTTATATTTCATGATGTTTCATTACTTTGAAAAATATGCAGGATATCGAATTCCTAAGGATTGGTGTGTTGTGGCATCTCTTACATCAGTTCATTTAGATGGCATCAACTATGAAAAGCCTTTTGAATTTGATCCATGGAGATGGGAGGTTAGTAGTTAAACACCAATAACCTCTCTTACTTCATAACTTATACTCGTTTTAAATTGCAATTGCATTCAAACTCATAAATAGTTGTTAGATATCGCCGGTACTAAAAAATCTTAGTAACTAGATATATTTGAGTGCAGAATATTGAAGCTGGAACTAGAAACAATTGTTTTACACCATTTGGTGGAGGACAAAGATTATGTCCAGGGATAGAACTCTCTAGGCTAGAGCTCTCTATTTTCCTTCACCATCTAGTTACAACTTACAGGTAATTATTAATCACTTGTCTAAAATAAATTTTAAAAAAGTTTAATTTATGAGTTGGTTTTGTAAATGAATAAATGTACTTAATTTGCAGATGGGTTGCTGAGAGGGATGAAATTATTTACTTTCCAACTGTAAAGATGAAAAAGAAACTCCCAATTAGTGTGACACCGTTAACACTTGATTGAATTAGTAAATAGCTAGAATAATAATTCTTGTACAGTGTATGTTTATTTTGAAAATTCGGAATCAGAATTGATTAATTTAAGAGAATCAATCTTAATATCTACTAGTAGAATTCATTTAAAAGCAGAGCAAAATTACGTGTAGACTAAACTGATACAGAGATTCTTTCGATTTAAATAGTTAAATTTAGGACTTTTGCATGCATTGATTTAAGATCAAACTATTCAAATTATGTCTATTAGATGGTTGAGTAAACAAAACAATATGGTGGCTAGCCCTACATAAAAAGGTGCTATGTATTCTTGCATTAGCTCTAATGTCACATCAATATTTTTGTTAGAGAAAGGTGCCATTGGGTCCTCTTGAGATTGATCATATTCTAAAAATGTTTAGCATTGGAGATGATTGGAGCTAACTCTCAAATCTTGTGTCTCTTTCAATTAAATATTTATGTTTGATTCTCAATGTAACGTTTGTGGTGGGTTTGGATTCCCATGTGGATATTTAGTTGTGGTCTTGGTCCCATGCCTATGACATGGGTTTGTGCTCCACATCTATTTCTATGCGAGATTTTAACTTGTTACTCTACGTTTATTTATCATTTCCATATTTATATCTGACATTTTTCATATTTTATACGATATTAATTTTGTAATATTCTTTACTTTTTATTCGAAATTCACCAATCACACGTGCAAATTACGAATTCTCTAAGATGATACCAAAAATTTTATTTATTCTACTAAAGATTTCAAAAATTAAGGGTGTATATGGGTTTGATCCACCCATAAGACCGAGTCAAATTCACTCAAAAAAAATTCAAAAAAAGTGAATTGGGTTGTAATTGAATGGATATGGATTTAAAAACTAAAAAATTCATTAAAAAAATTGGATTTCGAGTAAAACCGGATTCAAACCCAAAAAACCCGCTCACCCATTAATCAAATATTTATTATTGCAATTTTAATGTAATTTTAATCTCTTAACATTTATTATTTTAGTATATAAGTACTTTAACTAATTTTAAATGTTTCATTTTTTAGTTATTTTGATACTAATACAACTTTATATCATATAACTTTAGTTTGTTGCTAATATATAATGATAATTTTTATTAGTTGATGATATTATTTATTATTTTATGATGCTAAAAAATAGTAAAAATAAGTTATCTAATTTTTTTAAGAGGATAAAAGCATTGAGTAATTCTTATGAAAAAAATGAGACTCGTCATTTAATTATTTAATATTAATAAAATAAATAAATTATTTGGACAATCTACTATCCAATCCAACCCAATTTAAAAATTTGTAAATTTGTTCAAATCACACGTATGAGATTGGGTATTAGATTTTACCAAACTCAACTCAAATCGACTCACGTACACTCTTATGAAAAAAATAATATGTAATTATAAAACTATGGGGAGTGCCAGATACAAGTGTGAGAGTGACAAATTAAAACCTCCTATGCATAATATTTCTATTTCACTGTCGTCAAAATGATTAAAAATGTGATTCTAAGTATGAAAATTTAAATTTTTATGCTAGAAGGACTTATTTGACTTTAACATTATTATTTTTATATATGAAATTTGAGTCACCATGCACTTGATGTGAAGACAAGCTTCTAATGTGTTTTGATGAAAACAAGCTCAATAATAATATGACCAAAGAAGAAAAAAAAATGGTTAACACTCGACTTCACTTACAAGATTGGATTGATGAAATTTTTAGGTATATGGAATTTTTGACTAAAAATCAATCTTAGTGCTCATGTTTTTTGATCATGCATTAAAAAGTCATTTTTGATTTAAAACCCTGGTAAAACATTTTTCAGAGATCATCTAATGTCTTGGTTATATCTCTAGATGATACTTGGTTTTGAATCATATGCATAAGCCAAATATCAAATTTTCAATGATTAAAATCGGTTGCACCTTGGCAACAATCGGTTACATCACAAGCGTTTTGGCTACTGTCTTGGGCAAAAATGAAATTTTCACTAATGGCAATCAATTGTTACGCTGGTGCAATCAATTGTTACAAGCTATATTTTCAAAAAAATTTAATGTTGAAACTTGGTGCAACCGATTGTGATTCTTGTGCAATCGATTGAACTTGTATGTTTTCTAAGAAATGTCTTGTTTGAATGCACATTTTCATCATATCCTTTCATGACATTTGTTACATCATTTTTTTAATGAAATTTCAGAATTTCTCTAACCATTTCTATGACTTTTGAATGGTTGCCTTCATCACTATAAATACAATTCAAAATTTTTTTTCACTTACCTCTTTCATACAAATCTTAAAATCTCTCTACATACTTTCATCATAACTTTAATACTTAGATACTTTTAAAAAAATACATTTTTACATTATTATCATAAAAGTATCTTGAGCACTTAGAGAAAATTTATCTTGAATCTTCATACTTGAAAGAAAAGAAGATTTTGTTATAAGTTTTAAAGAATTCTACAAACTTCATCTACTTCTTTATACATTACTTTGTTGTAAATTCCTAAGTATCAATGATTGTTTGGTCTTAGGTGTAGTGACTTATCATCCAGGATTGTTGGAGATAAAGTTTTTAGAAAAGAGAGGATTGTTCTCTTTTCTTGGTGTTCAAGTTTCAAGAGGATTGTTCTTGATAACTTTGTTAGAATCTTGTTTAGGGAGATCTAACAATAATAAAATCTCTTACATGTGATAAGGGGATTAGACGCACTCTCGGATTGTGATAGAAACTAGTATAATCTCTTTGTGTTTTTTATTTTTCTGCACTTTACCGTTTTTATAGCCTAACCTATCAAGAAAAGAAAGAACAAAGATTCATAAAAACCGAATAATTTTTCTAAGTCCTAATTCACCCCCTCTTAGGCAAACTCAAATACTTACAATTGGCATCCGAGTGGGTTATAGGCCACATGTTCCTAAAGATCTAGAATGGCTTCTGTAAGTGCAAATTAGATTTTCAAAGATGGTGGTAGCAGCAATAAACCTCCTCTATTTTCTGGTGAATATTTTAATTTTTGGAAAATTCGCATGCGGGCTCATTTGGAAAAACAAGGAGAAGGAATATGGAAAAACATCCAAAATGGTCCAAATGAACCTACTAGTATTTTTAATGGTGTTGGCACTCCAAATATTGAAACCTCTTGGGGTGAAGATGATAAGAAGAAAGTTCTTAATGAAAAGAAAGCAATCAACATATTTCAAAGTGCATTTAGCATGGATGAATTATTATGTATCTCTCAATGTAAATCGGAAAAGGAAATTTGGGATACATTGATGGAAACTCATGAAGGAACCGTTGAAGCAAAAAGATCTAGATTGAATACTTTGAGTCAAGAGTACGAAATGTTCAGAATGTAGCCTGGAGAATCTACCGTCGCATTGTAAAAGAGATTTGTACACTTGACAAATCATTTGATTGCTCTCAGTAAGTGTTTTACTAACGATGATCTTAATCTTAAAGTGCTTAAATCTTTAACTAGGGAATGACAACCAAAAGTGACACCGATATCGAAAAAGAAAAGTCTTTCTACCATGACATTCGTATCTTTGTTCGGAAAACTCCAAGAACATAAACTTGAACTTGGAAGACTTGAAAAATATGAGAATCAAGAGAAGAAAACCAAAACATTGCTTTGAAATTCGATTCAAAAGTAGATCAAGAAGATGATGTTCCAGAGGAAGATGAAAACTTTATGCTCCTTGTGAAAAGGCTTGGTAAATTTTTTAGTAAAAATGATAAATCCTTTAATTATGTAAAAAGAAAGAAATATTTCATGAAAAAGGAGGCTTCCACATCAACACAAGATGTCATATGTTATGAATGTGGTAAGCAAGGGCATATAAAGACAAATTGTCCAAAACTCTCCAAGAAATATTGCTTCAAAAGTAGAAAAGAGAATAAGAATAAAAGAGCCTACATTGCATGGGAAGATAATGAGATAAGTTCATCATCCGATTTGGAAAGCGAAGAATGTGAAAATCTTGCAATGATGGCCTCACATATCATTCCTATGATGAAGATGAAGAGGTTAATAATCAATTTTCCATTTCTGATAATGATGCACAAGGTGTCGTAGATGTACATCTTAATGAATGCAAAATTCTGTATAAAACCGTGTCAAATCAAAAGAAACAAATTTCATCTCTTGAAGAAAAGATTGACACTATGGAAAAAGACTTTGAAGTTGACACACACAATTTTATTAATAAGCAAAAACAAAATTTTGTATGCAAATAATGCAAATCACTTTCTTTCCAAATTGTCCAATTAAAAAGAGTTGAAAGATATGAAAAAGGGAAAATTGGATTGGACGGTGTCCTTAGTCAACATAGATATTCAAATGATAAAAGTGGTATTGGTTATTCAAATATTTTCAAACCAAGTTCTAACAAAACTATCTTTGTTAAGAGTAGTGATAAATCCACCAAAGAAAAAGTGAACAAAGCAAAAGTTGTTCATCAATGTCCTAAAAAGGAAAAGATTTGTTAAGAAGATATATTATGTTCCTATATATAGAAGTAATTTTTTTCCTACTTGTTTTTATTGTGGTATAAGTGGTCACATATCTAATGCTTGTTATGTTAGAAACTTTAGTGTGGCAAGTGGGCATTATGTGTGGATCAAGAAATGAACTAATTATGAAGGACTAGAGGCAATTTGGGTGTTGTCGCTTGCGCGAAAATAAGGTGCCGGCACAACAGAAGAGTCGCCACCTTTCGTTATTTATCTCTCCGAACGGGAAAGGAAACGATCCGAAAAACCTGACGAAAAAGGGTAAGACAAGGTCGTCGCAACCGCTGTCTGGATTCGGGAGTTGGTTACGCAAGGGAAAGGTATTAGCACCCCTCACGTCCGTCGTACTCGACGGGATCCTCGCTTGTTGTGTTTACTTGGACGGGTTAGTTTTATTCTATCTACCTATCAAGGCTGGCTTGAAAAGAAAAGAAAAATGACTCGGCAAAGCGTCGCACTTTATGCCTAC